ACATTACAGAAATGGTGTTACAATTACTATCCTTTACTTTATTCCACATTACAGAAATGGTGTTACAATTACTATCCTTTACTTTATTCCACATTACAGAAATGGTGTTACAATTACTATCCTTTACTTTATTACTTTTACTAATCCTTCTCTACATCCTTAGTGTTTGTTGATACTCTGAGTGTTTCTTGATAGACCACAGTAGAAGTTCTTCTTTCTTCCTGGGCCTAAATAAAGAGATTTCTTGGTAATCATACTATAGATTACCCAACACAGAATTGACCATGTGAAAAGCAAGGGGTTTTCTGATGTAATCCTGCCACTTTAAGGGTCTGACTTTGTACTTTTGTGGGCATTTTTTGTGGCAAAAAATGTGAATGTTTGGCATTTTTAAGGGAAAAAAAAACATTTCAAGAAAAAGGTCAAAATAAAAATTTTTACAAATAAAATTGGTCCAAGACTGTGGAGTCATTAGCTAAACAAACATATTTTGTTGTGGGTGGGGTTGGGTAACAACGTCCCTATGATGTGCCCCTTGGTTATTGTATCATTCTATCAAATTTGCTTGAGATTAGTCCAAAGACCATGGAGTATTTCATAGACAAACAAACAAATTTTTTCTTTTATAAGTATAGATATAGTTTCATGGTTATGTGGTAGTTACAAGGTCAATAGAGTTAATAATAACATTCATATACCAATCTGATGTATTATAAAGTGACGGCTGTATGTTGTACAAAGTTTACTTCTAAGTGTATTTGAAAATGAAATATAGACTGCTCTCACCAAGTGAAAGAAATGTAACTAATGGAAAAGTTAACAGGTTTAAAATTTTAGAAAATTATATATGAGAGCAATATAAGAAATATTCTTTTATTTCAAGTGTATTTACTGTGTTTTTTTTTTGGCTCTTATACATGATTATTGTAATGGTATTGTATTTCATTAGTAGTATTTTAAGGCTTGATGGAATGCTTCCTAAAAGAAGATAGTTTAAAAGAAGCAAATTCAGCACTGAATCCCCTTAATATTGCCTTCACAGTCAAGACTTATTACCAAGACTATTCCAAGATTGACATTGGAATTTCATCAGAAGTAACTGTTGATCAGTTGAAAATTGCTGAAAAGATTATGGACAAACAACTATTTAAACTAAAAGTTGACTGCAAATGTTTTTGGTGAGGCTAGTTGATAAACTTCTGAAGAAGGCTTCTATCAAATATCCCTTTTCCAAAATATGCAGTGTCATGATCTCCAATTTATGGTGGTCAACAAGGAAGAATGTGTTCAGAAAATAAAAACAGTCCTGCATATACTTTTTGCCTCAAATCACATCAAGGAGTCTGTGATGATGTCAAGAAAGAGTACGGGGAGTTTTGCAGCTGTTCTTTGCATACTGATGGTTTTTGAGATTTTGACTCCACATCCTGTAGGTTTGACACATTTTTTTATATGAACATGTGAGCTTGAAGCCAATCTATAAAACATTGTGGGGTGCAGTAAAGTTCTTGCTTCTTCTTTCATGTGGTCAAGATAGTGTTGAGAGAGGATTCTCTGTAAATAAAGAATTTGTTGTTGAGAATCTGCATGAGCAATCACTGGTGGCACAGAGAGTCACAAGAGTCATTGCTGATCATGTTAAAGTTGTTGGAGGAGTTACAAACATAGAGATGACAAAAGGGATCTTGATGTCATCTGCAGGAGCCAGACAGAAATATGTCTATCTGGACAAGCAAAAACATTTGAAAGAGAAAAAAAGTTATAGGCATGAAAAGAAAATATTTTACGTATGATGTTGAAAAGTTAAAAAGGAAAATTAGAGCAGAAGTTGACATGAAGGTACTTATACAGTCAGTGGATGAATATGATGAAAGAACTAAATCAATTAACAACTTAACCTTTGTCATCACGTCAAATAGTCGGCAGAACACTAAGAAACAAACTGAAAAGAAACTATCTGAATTGAAAAATAATTCTCTTTTATTACTAACTCAAACATTTAGGAGTGTGAGAAGGTTTTGGTTTACCCCACTGGCAGGGATATAGGAATGTGGTACAGGTGTACTCTAGCACCACAGTTGGGAGCCTCTGGATTAGAAGAGAAACAACAGTTTATGTTCCTGCGTTATACTGCTTACTGAATTGATCTTTTTATTTAATTTTTTTTGTGCGTGTTTATTAAAGTGCATAGAAGGTGTTTAAAATCTGCAATCTCTGCCTTTGTGTCTGCATTAATGTTTAGGATAAAACAGTGTTATATCTACATTTTTCTTATAATTTCTACAGTTCCTTTATATAAGCCATTTTCAACAGCATAATTCATAATCACAAAATAGAATAAATATGTTGTTGAAAAAAGAAAACTGCTTGAAAGATTTTCATAAAACATTGATTTTTTGTAATTGTTTTTGTTGACATAGTTGTTTAAAACGTCTTACTGAAAATTTCATGCATCTTGTACATATAATGCTGGATAAAGCTGAACGTTAATGGTTGTATACAGTACTTATTATTCTACTGACATATAATCCCTTTACAATATGTAAAATTATTTATAACCAAATATTTATATTTTAAACAATGTTTTATTGTTGTTGATCTAAATGGATGTTTTTCATGATATATTCTAGATTAACTGTTATAGTATGGCTATTTTTTGAAAATACAGTACAAAATAATCTGTAAAAAACGTATGGTATGCAAGTCATGGAAATTTATTTAAATGTTATGAAGTTTCTGAAAAGTCTTGTAATTATTTGCTCCAAAGGTGTATGAACCCTTTCTGTGTATAGCATGAAAATATTCACAAGGCAGTGGTAAGCTGAGAAGTAATTTTAAACATAACTGAGGCCTTTTCATTTGTGACAATTATACCTTTGTCATAGATGAGTAGAAGACATTAACAAAGTGATAAACAGATATAGGTGTATTTCCTGCAACATAAAATCTCAAGGAGGATAGAGTTATGATACATTTCTCAGTATGTTCTAGAACAGGAACTCTGAAGAGTGTGTTTTACATGAAAATCTTGTGTTTATGCATAAAATACAAAGTGCAAAGATTTTTGTCTGTTCCAGAAAGTTACCCCTTTGTATAACACTTAAAAAAGTTAGATTTTTTTAAATCTAACAGATTTTCTATTATAAATATAATAAAAAATATTAATAAATACTGTTGTTTATGTCTGGCAGTACTGATACTTCAAGAAATAAGCAGCCGTCTTTTCAACTCGCATGAAGAATGTAGTTTGTTATTGAAAGGTATTTCAAATACAGAAGGTTCTACATCCCTCCCCCACTAAACATAAGTTTTCTAGTATGGCTAGTTTCTTTCCCACTTCATTAACCTGTGGGTTTCAGTTTTATAAAAGGCCAGTGTCATCATGCATGTAACATAAAATATCTTCCTTGGAGCATCTTGTTCTGTAGTCCTATCACTTGTTGTACATATGTGTACTTTACTTTAGTAAATCATGCCATTGCTGTTTTTTCTTTGGTGTAGTTAATAAAATAGTTTTATGTGGCCTTACGAAAGTTCATTCTGTTAGAAATAGGCGTTTTTATTTGTCTTTATACTGATTTCAGATTCAAAAGGAGCTTCAGAAGAAAATAGATGAAGTGCGGGAACAGTTAGAGCACAGCCTGTCTACTAACAGAAGTTTACAAAACTATGTAACTTTCCTCAAGAACTCGTATGCTGCTGTGTTTGCTGACCATTATGTATCAACAGATAGAGCAGATTCATCGCAGCTGTATACCAGTTAGTATTTTATTCAGAGCCATGAAACATGCTGAGAAATGTCAGGACAAGATTGTAATAGTTCTTCATTAATTACTTACCATTAACACCACTGAGACAAGAAAAATCTGTATCAATTAATTCCTCTCACCTGTTTTACAAGTTATATTTTTGTTTTTAAGGGGTTTATTAAATAATTATGTATATATTTTTTTCAAATAGAAGTAGATAATAAGTTTTCATGTGACTTCCATTTAAATAAAAGTTTGTGGAAAGAAGTGACAATGTTTATAGTTTTTCTCAACTCATATATTTTGTGATCAGTATTTATTGATTCTTTAACTGAAAAATATTGTGTAAAATCTGTAATATTATTTAGACATTAAATTAAATATATACACATCCAACCATTTTTATTAAAACTAGCTTTCAGATTCAGTACTATAACTGCCATCATTTTACTGCAAGAGTATCCTCAGAAAAAAGTTTAAATGATAGCAACAGTTAACAACAGGACAATAACTTTACAGATCACAAGTAGCGGTAACATACAGAATATGCTAGCACAGATCACACACAATAATACATGTAACAAAATTACTACAGATACCTATAATTGTGAGAGTTGCACTAACTTAATTAGGTTCCTGGTTTGTTAAAATCGAGTAATTAAATTTTGAAGTAAAATGAAATTAATGACTGTAAACCAAGTTGGATGAGATTCACCAACGCACTAAAATTTTGTTCTCCAAAAATACCAAAAAATGAAACGTTTGTAAAAAATGTATTTGTAAATGAATATTAAATAAACTTAATTCAGTTATAGATTAATAAAACAACAATAAATAGGTTGTTTTTAAGCATTTTTCTAGATATTAAAACAACATTAATGTTGTACTTTGAGAACCTTCTCAGGTTTTTCCTCAGACAGATATGTTTAGATTGTTTCTTACCTTAGTGTTCCCAGTTTGTGAAAAGCTGTTGGAAATTAATTATTTTTTTTTTCCTTTTCATGAAGATCTTTTCTCATCTTTGTACTGCAGAGGATTTATTCTTCTCACTACATAAAACTACCTTTATAGTTTGTGCTTCTAAGTAAACGGCATCATATCTGCTTTATTACACATCATTGATGAACTGTAAACATCATCCGTATCTGTCTCTTGTAGCAAAGAAATTGCATCAGTGTTATCTTACGTAATACCTGTTGTATCTGTCTTCCTCTGCACTTGGTATTTTTATTAAAAACAATTACAGAACAGTATTTATCCTTTTTGTTACATCTAAACCTGTAGTAATTGTTATTTGTTACTAGTGTTGTCACACACACACATTTCTACCGAAAATTACTGAATAGGTTAATAGTGTGTATACTTTATTTTCAAAATGAACTTGGACATTTTTTCTCATTGATGAATTTTTATAGAGCTTTACATAATTTACATTTCTTTGTTTTATTTGCAATTAAACATCAATGAAATGCTAATAATTATATTATCTAACAAAATTTTCTCGGTTGGTTGAGGGTGCTAGCATGCCTCACCCTTCACGGGCTTCATATCAGTTTGCTTTAGTATACCATCAGGCTCATTTTCCATTTCTTGATTCTCAACAGTTGCGATCGCTTTTGCCAAGGTGGGGGGCAGACTCTTTTCATCTTGTACATTTATCCTATGCCCAGTTTTCCCACCTTTGTCTTGCCCTATCAGTTCTTCTACGGTACTTATCTACCATCCACCTTCTTTCCAAGGTGCTCCATTATGATCCTGAGGGTGTTTTGAGAGATAGTTTTTCCCTGATTACCTCCACATCATCAGGTTTTTCTTCTTTGGCTCTTTCCTTACAAACATGGTTTCTCTGTTGTTTTGATCTTTTGGGGAGGTACGCTGTATTTTCCCAAGTTCCTTTACCACCAACTTATCTCGGGGACTTATGTATGGTCCCCCCTTTCTCTGGCAGTCTGTTTTTGGAAATAATCCTGAGACTTTGGAATCCCATGTGGAATTGGTGAGACAACAATAAACCCTTTAATCATTGTTTGATTGTTTGTCTCATTCCGAGCCTACACAAGCCCCTATTACTGTTTTCTGTCCTGCTCCTTACCAGTACTGATGACTACTCGGTGGGTTCTGGTCCAGTGGGGGCTCAATTGACCGATTTTTTTTTTCCCTATGGTAAGTTTTTGTCACAAATCAATGGGTTATTTGGGTATTGTCTGAGGGACTTGTCATCCACTTCCTATCCCCTCCTCCATTGTCTTTTTGACATTCTTTGAAGAAATTACTTCCTAAGTAGAAGAGAGTATAATTGTGGATTTGGTTTAACAGGATTTTCAGAAAGCATGTGACAAGGTAACACATAAAAGACTTGTTAAAAACGTTATCTGTAGATGTGGGGGATAGGTTTGCTCATTGGATAAAAAACTGGCTAGATGGGAAAAAAAGTAGAGGGTTATTATAAATCAAGTTCAGTCAAGCTGGATTCTTGTCACAAGTGTGGTACTTTAGGGCTCAATGTTAGGATCTTTGCTCTTTTTGTATTTATATCACTGACATAGATCAAGGAATGATCAACAAATTATTTAAATCTTCTGATGAAGTAACAGTTTTGGTTGTTGCTGTCTGTTAGGAGGATCCTGCTGCTTTAGAAAAGGATTTGGGGAGTTGGGCAAATAAATGGCAGATGTTTTTTTAAATATAATAAATGCAAGGTAATGCATATGTGATCTCACAGTTTGTATTATGAGTACAGTTTTGATGGGAATACCCTTAACAGTGTTATGGAAGAAAAATATCTAAGTGTTCTGATTCAATGTGCCATTGCTGGTGGCAGAGCAAATAGGATTTTAGGTTGTATCTGCAAAAATATTTATTACAAGTCTAAAGAGGTTATAATGTCATTGTATAGGTCATTGGTCTGGCCACATTTAGAGTACCATGTTCAGTCTTGGGCTTTTTATCTTAGAAAGAACATGGAATTTTTGGAAAGGGTTCAGAGGAAGGTTACTAGGATGATAGCTGGGATGAAAAGATTGTCAAACGAGGATAGGTTATGATCTGTGAACTTGTTTTCTCTCGAAACAAGAAGAGTTAGAGGTGATCTGTTTGAAGTGTTTAAACTTATTAAGGGAACTGATGGTGTTCATACATCGTTTTTGTTCGTATTTAATTGTGAAAATGGTAAAACTAAGGGACACAAATATACATTTTAGAAGAGCAGGAGTCATCTTCAGTTAAGACAACTATTTGTCTAACAAGGTGTTTGGCCTTTGAAATAGGTTGCCTTCAGATGTAGTAGATGCAGTTGATTTAAGGGAGTTTAATGGACATGATAAATGTTTGAATAACAAAGGTCTACCTTTAGGTTTTGGTTTTATTTTAGAGTTTTGTGTAATAGATTGAGTTGTCTAGATGGACCAACAGGTCCCTTGTTGCCCTTAAACTATATGTATGTATTGCTCGTACCTTTATCCTGGTCAGAGGCGTCTCTAGGCAATGTGCACAATGGGGCCTATAGGCTATATGGGTTAGATAATCACGCAATATTTTTCTAATATTCTATGAAGTTTCTGCATGTAGTTACGATATTCTCCATGACTGAGTTTCTCAGGATTGTAAGCATGTGCTAATCCTTTTACACGGGTAAAGACTATGTATACATACTTTGACCTTTGTTTTTAAGTCTCAAGCTTGTGATTATGTGTTTCAGTGTGGACTTCTTGGGAGACAGTCTATTCAAACAGGCAATACAGAAGCTTGTACACCTGGCTTAGCTTAAAACTGCGTATAGATATAAGGTCCGAAATTCGCAAAATTTCTAAATTGTCCTTCACAAAAATTCTAACTGGTTATTATCAGGTTTGACCTCCTCTCTCAAATAAAATGTATATATATATATATATTGTTGCGTCAGCGAGTCACATGACCACGTGACGCAACGTTTCTAGAATTATCATGTACTTTGTCGAATGTTCAAGGTCTTACTAGAAATAGGTTACGCTGGTATAAAAGCGGGGAAGGTAATGTGTGTGAGGGAGAGACAGTG